ACTGAGGATTTCTTATCATGTATGTGGTGCCATAAAGAGTCTCACCTGAGCAGTCTGTAGTAGGCGAAGCGAAACACTTCCTGGAGCAAGACCGAAAAGAAGACCCCAAAAATCAGCAGCCCCCTCTGAAGGGTGAGATCCTGTGAGTTACTGGCCTTTATAGCGATGAACCACACCAGAGAGGACAACAGCAGAGACAGCAGCCAGAAAAACGCCCTGAAACACACAAACACAAGCACCATCTGCTCACATTCTCCACTTCCAGCTCATCTAAAGGGCCTGCTAAAAACTTTAAAAGGCAGAGACACTTTACGACTTCACGAATGAGAGAAATGTCATGGAAATCAGGCTTGTTTTTAAAAGTCTGAATGTTCATAAACTCTTTGTTAAAGATTATATAAAGAAAGATATCTTGAAAGTTAACATGGTCTCTTTCGTAAGTCCACCTTACTACATGACTGTCTCTTACACTGTAACAGTACAGTGGAGCCACCAGGGTAACACCATGGTACTTTGGTATGTTCTATGAGCCTGAATAATTAATGTATGAATGCATTGTGTGTTTGAGGATGTTAGTGAGATTCGATCACGTGACTCACCCTGCGATCAGAATGATGACTCTTAACGGGTCTTTGGCGACGGTGAACACAAACAGGGCGAAAGCTGGACCGAACGCTATGAAAGCACAGCCGAAAAACACTGCCAGAGTCATTCTGGACGAACAGCTTTCTCTGTGATGAACCGGCTGCTGTCCGGTTAGATAACGAGCAACAATCGGGCTCTAGCAGAAACACTTCAAACGCACAGCACTGCTGAGAAAGCAAACACGAACAATGCTAGTAGATAATACACACACATTTACTTAATTCTCCACAAAATAGAGATAGTTTAAATCTGATATTCTCATTTGCAGCGGTGCAATACAGACGAAGCACAGTATTCTCATTTACAGACAAATAAATGACCGATCCATCAAAGCTAATCAATCCGATTACATTCGCGCGGGTTATGTCGTTCTTCTGTGAGCACTTTGTTTGGTAACATTTTCAAACTTAATCTTCAGTTTCTATTTCCCGAATAAAAAACACACGCAACACTTCCGAGGGCTTTTGTTTGGTTTAAAATGATTGGCTTGCGCTTCCGGGTTTACGTATGGAAAGTCAATACCAAAAGTGGGACGAAACAGCGCGGTATTAAAGGGGTCATAGGATGCTATTTTAAAGATCATTATTTTGTGTATTTGGTGTAACAGAATAT